ATAAGTCTAGTAAGTATTCTACTAACGTATAGACCACCTATACCTAGTTGTAGACCTCCAACATTTTCACCACCATGGATTCCACCCCGACTTATCGACCTCGAATGTCTCCACCACCATCCGGCATTGCCCCCCCCCTCCCCACCCCCAGATGCAACTAAGCATAAAATCTGAGATAAGGATGCCAAATGCATTCTTTGAAGGAATGCCATCTCTGAAAGTTTTGAATCTTGTTAGGAACCTGCTTAACTCAGGGCTCTTTGAGGGGCCAACCTCCTGAATTCTTGGGAAGGAGAGAGAGAGAGAGTTTAATGCTGAGAGAGTCCTCCTCTATTCCTTTTTGGCTCTACTACTTATAGTGTTACAATCTTGACTGTTACAGCTGTTACAAGTGGATGGCAGTTGTGACAAGTGGCTGCTGATGTGGCCTCTTCTTGTAACTGACTAACTGCCTTCTGTTGGTCTGTTCCAACAGTCTTGACAGTCCAATTGGGTGGCAGTTGTTACATGTGGATGGCGGTTATTACAAGTGGCTGGGTAGTGGCCTCCTCTTGTAAAACTAACTAACTGCCTTCTGTTGGTCTGTTCCAACAGTCTTGACAGATCTATCTAGCAATGACATTCCTATGTTACCCCTATCATTATATTCCTCGACCAACCTTCAAACACTATGTACAACTACATCTATGTTGTCATTTGGAAAAAGAAATATCAACATGTGGACAGCTCAAGAAATCAATACTTAAAATTCTCCATTACTATTTCATCTGAAGTGACACTTCTTGTCTGCAAGAAACGAAAATGATTGGAGAAACAACTAATACTAGCAATAGCAGCCCCATTTGGTCTCGTTCCTGTGTATTTCTATTCCTAAGGAATTTCCTGTACTAGAACAATTATCCGGTTTCTTATTCTTGAGAAACAAGTGACATGATGGGCAAATTGTTCCTGAGGAACAGTGTTTATTATATGATTGAATCTCCCTATCTATACTATATTGATCTCGACTCAAGGAACAGGTAGGAGATACTTCATTTTTTTATAAATCAATAAGGGAAATAGGTGCGCTTGCATATCAGTAACATTAATCGATGGGTCGAATGGAATGGAAGAGGGGCTTGGATAGTCGAGCTCACAGGGTCGAATGGAAGAGAAGATCGACCTAACCTGAAAAAAAAAATAAATAAATAAAACAAAACAATAGAGAAAATGGGGACCAAACATGGAGGAATCCAGACTCTGTTACGGATAAAGTCATTGGGTTTCAGGCATGAAAAATCGATACCAGGAGAAAAAAGGGAAGAAAACGGAAAAAAAAAAGTGATATTACCCGAGTCCAGATCGTTACCAGTGAAGGAAAGAAGAAAGAACAACGAACGCTGGTTCACGCAAGCTTGAATCGACAGCTCCCTCGTCTAGTCGGTGTGGCGACAAGCAGAGACGAAGAAAGTAGCTTCCCTGGGCTAAAACGCTTGCGTAACTTAACTAGTATACAAGTTTGAATACAAGACGAAGCGGGAGGTGGAAGTGGAAGTGGAGGTAGGGCTGCAAACAGATCGGAATGAATCCGATACAGGCATATCCGAATTTGATTTGTTCGTATAGGGGTGGCAACTGGTAGGGCTGTCAATTGGACAGGATTTGGTCCAATCCAGTCCAGTCCAACATTGGTCCATTTACAAATGGACTGGACCAAATCCAGTCCAAACCCCATACAAACCAGATCCAGTCCAGTCCAATTGAAATGCAAATGGACCGGAGTGGACCCAATCCAGTCCAAATTAAATGTTTTCCCTACTTAAAAGTCAACATAAAAGGATATGATTTCATTTCACACAAGCAGTTTACTGCATCATCTGATCTGAAAGCAATCGACAAAGAGGAAGTGTCTGAATTGGACCGGGCCACTTACATGTGAAAGCAGTTGGTCAAATTTTAAGGTTCTGTTTGCTGGGTCGGTTCAGTTGTGGGTCACTACCATTAACATCACTTGTGACTTGTGGTCTTCTGCAGCACTTACACCAGAAAGGACGACTCTTTCCCATTTTCAGTCGGCCATGTTTTTTGACTTTAGGACTTCATATTGGCCAACTCGTTCACATTTTAGGACCAGATAAGTGGTGCAGCATGGATGCATGAAGGTTGGTTCTTGGAACATTCTCAGTAAACCTGGTCCGGTAAGTTGAATAGCCCAAGTTCTGGACCATATGAAACTTACCCAGATGAATCAGGAATCTTGCATCCATTTGTTTGACTATCTCTGCCGGGTGTGTTAATAGGTAAACATGATTTGAATGTCTGGTCAGACCTGCTTAGCCCAGAATACTCAGACAAGTATGTAAGCTAGAAATAGGATGGTTGGAATCAGGGATGTTCATCAAAAACCAAAAAACCAGAAACCAAAAAAACGAAATAGGATGGTTGGAAGAAGACAGTAGGAGCTGGAGCTGACTCTATTCCATCCACAGATGGTTTGAAAACTGTAATGAAGAATATATAGAAAAAAATGGTGAAGACGAGATGAACAAAAGCTGAATATGCAAGATAAGAACCAGAGCAAAATCTACTAGAGCATTGGATTTCTGATCTCTAATGAAAACTTCATTAAAATATAAAATAAAGAGAGATTACAAAGGCTTGGTGTTACCCCATACTGAGAAAAAGATAACACAAGGTTTAACAAATTCTACCCCACAAATCCAATTGGAAAAACACAAAACAAGCTAACAACAGAACTTAACTACATGAAAATGCAAACCAAGAAATCCCATTTCAGCTACTAGAAACATCCACTATCTCTTTTTAACAAGAAATGTCCTCAATGATTTGAACACCTCTGTTTTACCTGAACTGATTCCACTTCCTTATTAACCTCTCTCAATCAAAATGCCCCCAAATCTCTTATGAAGAACCAAACCTTGTATGAGAAAATTGGACCAAATTACCCGGTGTTTGCTTCAGCAGCTGTGCTCTTTCCCAGGATCCCCCCCCCCCGGCCCCATAGAATTGGAAGCTAGGATCAGGCTTATCTCCTAAGTCACAATTTTATTTATTATTTTCAGTAATCCTTAACTCACAATTGGTTAGAAGAAAGTTAAAAATCATATCCCATCCTTTTTCCACTTGCAAATGTTATTTGAACAACAGATTACAATATTTTAGAGTGAAACTTTGCTACTTGTAGCAACATCCGATCAAACAAGTCCTCTTCACCTGAAAAAATATCCCGGACCAGGCCAAATGTATATTGCTTGTACAACAACTCAAACCCAAAATTACTTCTAATAAATAAAACTAGTGACTGTAATGTCACGCCCAGAGACTATACTTTAATTCTGTATTCAATTCACAAGCTTTCTATTAGTCAAATTACCTGAACTGAAACGAAATCTCATATGAGAAAATTGAAAATATCACCAGGATTCTCAAACTCAGAACAGAGAGAGCATGTCACAGGAAAAAAAAAAAAAAAAGATTAAGAGAACTTCAAGAAGAACAAAAGCTTGAGGGGAAATATGTGCTTGAAGAAGAACTTTAAGAAACTTGATGCTTAGATATGGTTAGCATTGTCGTAGGTAGAAAGGGATTAGGACAAGCTTGTTGCATGGCTACTTAAATTAGCACAGTTGATAAAACTTAGAGCAGTAGATAGGAAAATGTCATAACTATCTATATTCTACAGTCAACAAGATAGTAATTTCCTTGATCAAAATGATAACTAAATTTCGATATTATTCTTTTTGTATAAATTGAGCATATAGGCAGCGTCAAACCATCTCCAGCATTAGATGGATTTAAATGAAACACAGAACACAGCACATATGGAAGGGTGTGACTATTTTCAAAAGAAAAGTGACACCATCTTGTACTTCAAAGTTCTAACCTTAGGCTCTAGTGAAAGAAGTTTCTATTACAATACAGAAGACAATTTGCAGTTGTATATTTAAGTTCCAAAATTCCATAAGAAACTAAAAGTTGCTACTGGCATGTTTTTGTCAAGGTTGAACAGATTTTCCAATTACATGCCAGTAGATGCAAATGCGTGGATAATTTTTTTTTAATTGTTACATACGTGGATAATGTTACAAAACAATACAAAATAGAAAAAAAAATGGGCTAGTCCAATCCAATCCATTGACTTATTGGACTGTTCAATATGTTCAACCTAGACCGGATTGGACTGGTTTAATCCAATCCACTGTCCTATTGGACTTCCCAACTTGTTCAATTTGGTTTTAATTCAGATTGTGTCCAACCCAAACCTGGTCCATTGACAGCCTCACAGCCCCACTCTTATCTTCTATCAATAGACTTGATATTGGTTCAAAACTTCAACCCAACCTAGACCACTATAAACCATTACAAATGGACTAGGTCCAATCCAATCCAATCCAAATTTTATAAGCAAATATTTAATAAAAAATATAAGAAAAATTTAAAACCCAATAGCATTGTTGTGAAAAAATCTTAGTTTTATATTTTATATTTTATAAAAAATTTATAATCTCAGTTTATAAAATATTTTAAGTTTATAAAATATTTTAAATTTATAAAAATTTAAAAACCAATCCAATCCAAACTTTATATTTTATAAAAAGTATAATCTCAGTTTCAAAATTCTTAGTTTACCATTGTTGTGAAAACCAATAGCAATAACAACCCCTTGCCCTTTGTTGGGATCAACTTACTAATTTGATAAATAGAATTTAAAATATAGTTTTACTTTGAAAAACAAAATGATAGTATGATTTCAAACTTAAGCATATTCAAATCATAATGGTTAATCACTCAATTACACAAAAAAAAGGAGAAAAAATAAATTATTTCAAATGTAGAAGACAAAATCCAAGCTATATTTCTAAAACATAAAATAACAAGTGATCTATTCAACACAAACTAACACATAACGTTTCCTTAGGAAACATCCTGAAATCCAAGCAAAGAAAGAGAGAATGGTGATTTCTGTGCTAGGTTCTAATGACAGAGGATAGATGAAATACCTGAATGAACAAATCGCAGAGGTCAGAGGAGAGACTGTCGCCGCTGAAGAGGGAGTGCTGTGACTGCTGTCGCTCCTGAAGAAAGTGAGAGGGCGCTGAGAGAAGAGAGAGTGTTGTACTGCTCGCTAGAGAAAGTGAGAGGCGCTAAGAGAAGGACTGCTGCCGTTGGAGAAAGTGAGAGGGCGAGAGGAAGATCGCCGGAGAGAGGGAAATACCGCCGGCGAGACTTTGAGATGGAGCGCCGAACCCTAGACTTTGAGAAAGTGAAACGTCCGTTCAAACTTCAAACGAAAATGAACGGACCAGTGGGCTGTTCGAACTTTTAGGGTCGGTCTATTTTCGATCCATTTTATGAATGGACGATTTGTGTTCGGACCGGTCCGAGTTCAAGGACCGTCCATAACACTTTCGATATCGACGGAGTCCAACCCAAAATCGATCCATTGACACCCCTAACAATTGGCAATTGGCAAATGGGTGAATTGGGTTGGGTAAGGTTGAGGTTAAATACCAGTTCACTCAATATCGACCCACCAACCCACCATAACGCATCATCAACCTTTCTTAATGGGTCACAGCCCATCTTGACCCATCTATAATGACCCTTACTCATCTTCACTCATACTAACTAACCTACCATCATCTATAAATGCATAAATGGGTCGGATCAATCCATATATTTGAAAATAATATTTTTTTATTTTGGATAAAATACAAAAATCTCTCCTAAAGTTTATCACAATCATAAAACCCTTTACTATGGTTTTATTGTAATAAATAACTTCCCTGAACATATAAATCTATTCAAAGACCTCACTTAATAGCTTAAGCTTTTAGGTTGAATGATTTTTTGAGATAATATCAAAGTCACTTTAATCAAATGGTCTTGTTCACTCACACTAGCTAAAGTGCCTTCTGGTAGCCCTATTACGAAGTTTGTGGACCGCACAAAATAGCTAGAGTGTAGAATTTAGAGCTTGAAATCGAAACTTATACTGAGAATGCTTGGCATTTATGAGGAGGAGGGAGGATACAACTAGACGACACAGCAACGTCAAAAAACATGTAATGCTGGCGACTTGGAGTTGGCCATTGTCAAATTTTCTCAGCCTCTTCAGGCAACCACTCCGCTGAGTGCCAATCTTGGGTTTTGATAAATGGCTCAGGCGTGCCCCAAAACAGAGTGGGCTGGTATATCTTTTATTTCTCTTCATCTTTTTTTTTTCTGTCAAGTCACCTAGATATTTATAAAAGGAATTAAAACAAAAACAGTTCTTGTACCAAAAGAAAAAAGAAACAAAAGCAATTCATCCTGCCATGGGATGATTGGCATGGTTTTTAAAACCGATTTGGTGATTGAATCAGTTAGGGGTCTGATTATCGGTTTGAATGGTCTGACCATTTGACCCGAATGATTGGTCTATTTTAACAAAAAAATTAAAAATGGTCAAAACCGTTCAAACAATTAATCAGCCGGTTCAACGGTTTATTAACCAAAATCAATGATTTTAGAGAAAAATAGAACCGATCAAATGACCGATTCCCAATTTTCCAGTTCAGTCCGATTTTAAAAACCATGATGATTGGACTTGCAGAACATACAAAAGAAAAGAAAACCAGCATTCAAGCACTTGGCTTACTTTGCATTTAATTGAAGGCCAAGAGCGGGGCTCAATTTGACTTTACAGGCTTTGCTTCAGTCATGGTGGTAGGCTATTGAATGGAACTTATCGTTGTCCGTTTGCGTTAGTGGTAAAAGGCTAAAATCCGTATTTAAAAAAATTGATGCATCAACTAATGCTTTTCATCTAGGTCAGTGACAAAAGTGAGGGTTTTATCGAGTTTCTCAAAAATTAAGGGAAGCTTACAATAAAATTATAAGAAAGGATTTTATGATTGTCAAAAACTTTAATAAAAGATTTTGTATTTTACCCTTTACTTTTTTTTATAGATCATATCTCTCCACAATGTCACTTGGCAGATATAAGTGGGGTTGATCCGTATACCCGAGCTTCTCAATAAACACCAAATGTCCAATACTCGAACCCCAACCCAATCTGATAAGAGTCTCTTTTATACAATCAAACCGTAATTTTAAAACCTGCAACTTTTTCAAAAAACATAGTCCAGCAATTTAATTAATCTACATGCGTGGAATGAAACAGAAGGGAGATTGATCATTTCATAAAAATAGCAGAGATAGATAAGAGAAGGGAAACAGTGATTGGTAGAACAGAGAAACAATGAGTGAGGATGAAAATAAATAGCGGAACAGGGCACCTATGGCCCCTTGGGATGCATAGATCTCGAAAAGTTACCCAAAATAAATAAATAAATAAACACCACAATCGAATAATCGGAGTGCAAAGTTATGGCCTCCAAAAGTTTGCATGTATTTAGTGTGCAACCCACGATTTAGTCACCATATCGAACGAGTCAAAGGTCAAACCGGCTGAGTCGGGCAGTTCTTGACCAAGTCAACAGTTTTAATCGTCTAACAAGTCCTAACTAAACTGGACCCGGAGTCCTAGTCAGGTGACAGTTCAAACGATTCCACCGGCAGGGTCAACGGTGGATTGAAAAACATTGCCTTGACCCTTTACGACGCACTAGGTGCCCTCGACCCAACTCACCTTAACCCTCTTTTCCCTGACCCTAATAGATCACTCGACCCACATTGACCCACTATTGAAATTGATGGGTTTGGGTGGGTCAAATGGGTCAAGGTCAAAATTGCTAGTCTTAGTTCATATTTGAATTTGAATGGGATCATTATCTAATGGATTCGAATCAAATTAGAATACAAATGATCAAAATATTATTTATTATTAATAAAATGAGCTAAAAATAATTTTAATAGTATTTTATAAATAAAATGATTTTAAAATTATTTACAAAAACCCTATGAAAAATTAGTGAAAATATAACATTGGGACCAATTTCAATGATAGATATAATATAGTTTTTAAATATATGTGAGCATATATATTTAAATAGAAAGGAATCATATTATATCAGACCAAATTATAAATGGGTTAAATTAGGACCACCCTTAATAGGATTGAATTCGAATTCAAATTTAGATAATCACATACCATTTGCAGTCCTAGGTGGCTGAAGAGAGTTGTAGTGCAGGTAAATTTTAAACCTAAACTAGGGATTTAAATGGTATTCATTGTCCGAATTCGGTCCATTAATTTAATTATTATTAGAAATAATTATTTAAATATATCCTTTAATTTGAATAAACTACTTAATATACCATGTGCTTTCTAAAACCACTTCTCCATGGCCTCACTTGTCACAAATATGCAATGTAAGTGAAATGTTTTGGGCTGTTTGCATTTTGTCATTTGATGGCCAAAATACCCTCAATTGTTTGTTAAAGAAAACAAGCTCTTGGCTTTTTTCTATTGTATATAAATTAGTGAATGACCCCGTACTAAGTACAGGGAAGTTATATATATATATAAACATCAATGATTTTTATCACCATTTTTATTATTATTTATAAACTGTCATTTTTAAGACATTCATACAATCAACGGGTCCATATAAATTGACCCTTATATGTCAAACCCGTAAAATTATACGGGTCATTAAATTCAACTTGAACCATTTATCATTTTAATTCAAACATTATTATTATTATTATTAATTTATTTTATTATTTAATTTAAATTTTTTGTTATATAGTAATAATAATAACTAAATTTGTAATTATTTAAATATTTATTTAAAATAATTTTTCCAACCGAGTATAATGATAATATAATAGATTTGTTAATTCATATTTTGCATTTAAGAATAAACATTAATGATTTGGCTTAACAATTTTAATGACTGTTAATAAATATTGATTCTTATTTAAGGTTTAATTACTATATTCGGTAATTATTATGGGGCATGCTTTGAATGAACACTAATGATAACTAATGATTGTTATTTCATTTTTTATTATTTACTTAATTAAGTACTTGATGATTGTTATTATTATTAATTATTTCAATAAATAATTGATTGTTATTATTATTTACTTAATCCAATAATTTCCAGCAAGTAAATATTTGATTTAATTTGAAGTATATCATTTTTTTTATTATTTATAATAGACATCTTGGGTAGGATCTTTATTTGATTTAAGAGGCTTACCATGTTTTATCTAGACAATGACCCCATACTAAGTAAGGGGCAACTATAGTATCATTTAATTTGAAATTTACTATTTAACAATAAAAAAGAAATGTCATGTTGAACAACCCACCCCCCAAAATGTATCAATAACTTTGAAATCATTAATCTATTTATAAAATAGTAAATTAGATGGATGTTTACAACAATATCACTTATACTGCTTAATATTTAGGGACATATGAATAGATAAAAAACATTTAAATGATATCTATTCAAAGAGGCAAAGAAGGAAGAAAAACATTCAAATAGCTGCTATAAAAAAACAATCCATGTCAAACAACATTTGTAGATGCATCCATCCTCTGAAGTAAGAGATGAAAAATATATGACTACAATCAAATCATCATCATGTATGGCTACAATCAATTGATAATATAATCAAGACTCCAAAGACCATACAACAGAAGAAACATGAAAGAAAGGAGAATAATGTAACCATCCTAAGTATGGAAGTCACCTCCATGTTAGGTGGCAACACTTCTTTTGGTCAATTGTGGTTATGGATTTTAGATTTAAGCTCCCCACAGTGCACGTAAACAGGCTATAATTTATCTTTAGGAAAAAGGTAGGGAAACATGTGCATAGCCTAATGCTATGTTTGAATTATGAGAATTGGGAGATAGAAATAGGAAATGTAGATTGAAATTATAATTTTGGGTATGTTGATGTCTCAAATTCAAGTCAATTAGAATACTCATAGATTTTTAGTTCATTTATTTAGTGGTAATTTGAATATATTTTTTTATTCCATGTCTTTATTGAGTAACATAGATTAATACTATATTAATAATTACGAAATCAGTAATAATAATAAGTATATTATTATTACTATTATTTACTAATATTATATTATTATTATGTGTGTATTGATTTTAAAAAAAGTAATATTAAATTATTATTATTAAGTAATTAATTTGTTATAATTATGATTTTTAATAAATTCCTGAAATAGTAATTGCTTTTATAATTCTTTTAGTTTAACAATAATGAGTAATTGAAAGTTTATAATTTAACTTTCACTAAATGAAATACTTATTGGAGAATAATAATAGTATTAATTATGATTACTTATAATAATAATAATAATAATAATAATAATAACAACAACAACAACAACAATAATAATGTAAATAAGTAACACTAATTATATATTTATTAAATAATTAATATAAATTAATATAAATATAAAATGATTATATCCCAATTAATAACTAACATTATTAAAATAATTATTAATTATCATTAATTAATTAACATTTCAAAGTAATAATTATCATTGTTATAATTAAGGAATTAAATATCAGTAAGTAAGTATAATCAATAATTAATTTTTGTCAAAAATCATTATTATTAGTAATAATTAATTATAATTATTGATAATAATAATATAATTAATTATTTCATATAAATGTATGAATTATAATTTCTGATAATAATTATAATATAAGTAATTAACATTAAATATTTATTTTCAAAATAACTAATATTAGTTAATATAAATATAAAATGATTATTTCCAAATTATTAAATACCATTATGAAAATCATTATTAATTATCATTCCAAAATAACAATGAGAAAAATTATCAGTAATTAAGCATTAGCGGTAATTATTATAAGAAATTATTATCAGTGAGTTATTATTAGTAGTAATTAATAGCTGAAATTAATTAATTAGAAGTCATTAATTATTATTAGTACCTCTCTCTTTCAAAACGTTGACCCATTATCATCGTCATCATCAATGACAACAACTTGATAACTACATAATTTGATAAAAATAGGTAAATATTGTTAATTTATTTTTTTATCTTTTGGAAAACTGAATAAGAGAAAAATAAAATGGTTAGCATTGCAAATGAAAATTTATTTGAATTTTTGCAAAAAAAAAAATTATTGAACATAAAAAACCAATTATTCAAAAATAAGTTCATTAAATCAAAGAGTAACTAAAATTATTCACTAAATAATAATTTTAAAAAATTAAAATTAATTATTAATTATCTATACAAATTAAAATGGGTAATTTCAGCAAATAATTTTAAGTAATTAAATTTTGCCATTGACATTTTTTTAATAATAACCAGTATTATTAATAGATAATAATATATTAATAATTATGAAATCAATAGTAATAATAAGTATATTATTATTATTAACTAATAATATACTCTTATTATGTGTGTATTGGTTTTGAAATCAGTAATATTAAAGTATTATTATTATTACCATTATTATTATTATTATTTTATTTTTATTTTTATTAAGTAATTAATTTGTTATAATTATAATTTTTATTTAATTAATAAAATAATATTTGCTTTTATAATTCTTTAATTTTAACAATATTGAATAATTGAAAGTTTTATATTTTAACTTTCACTAAATGAAGTATTCATTGGAGAATAATAATAGTATTAATTATAATTACTTGTAATAATAATAATGTAAAAACATAACACTAATAATATATTTATAAAATATTTAATATGAGTTAATATTAATATAAAATGACTATATCCCAATTAATAATTAACATTATTAAAATGATTATTAATTATCATTAATTAATTAACATTCCGAAGTAATAATTATTATCATTAGTATTAGTAATAATTAATTATAATTATTGATAATAATAATAATATAATCATATTAATTAATATAATGTTATTAATTATAATAATATAATTAATTATTTCATATAAATGTATGAATTATAATTTCTTATAATAATTATAATATAAATAATTAACATTAAATATTTATTTTCAAAATAATTAATATGAGTTAATATAAATATAAAATGATTATTTTTGAATTATTAATTACCATTATGAAAATATTTATTAATTATCGCCTCGAATTAATAATGAGTAATAGTTAGTAATAAATTATCAGTAATTAAGTATTAGCATTAATTATTATAAGAAATTAATTTCTAAATTAATAATGAGCAATATTATCACTAATTAATTATTATCAATAATTAAGTAATAGAATTTATTATTATAAGAAATTATTATCAGTAATTAATTATTATCAGTGAGTAATTATTATTAGTAATTAATAGCTGGAATTAATTAATTAGAAGTAGTTAACAGTAATTAATTAGTAATTAACAATAATTATTATTAGTAATTAATAGCTGTAATTAATTAATTATAAGGAGTTAATAGTAATTATTATTAGTAAGCAATAACTTGAATTAATTAATTAGTTTAGTAGTTAATAGTAATTAATAGCATAGTTTCCTTTTTTTTATGAAAGGATTAAAAGTGGGAGCTTCCCACTTCTCACAACTCTGCATGGTGGTGGGCTCCACTCTGCATGTTAGTGGGCTCTTTTCTTGAAATACCACTAATCAGAATTTGACACATGTCTAATGGGCTTTGTTCTTGAACTACTACTAATCAAAATTTGACACATGTCCATTTTGTTTAAATATTTGGAATAACAGGTGTCTGAAACTTTGAATGTAGATGGGCCACATATCTGATTGTAGGGGACTTTGGCCTGAAATCATTCATTTAATATATATATTAGATATATCCACCTGAGATCGGGTTTCATCACGGCAAACTTGTGTTGTTGTGCCCACACTGATCTAACAGCCATGGTTTAAAGTATCAATACGATACGCTCTGAAACGCCTGTTTCCAGGTGTATTGGAATCCCAAATTTTTTTCAATAATAAAAAACATGTTTTTAGCCTCCCAAAAAACCAAAATTTGAAAAAAAAACTAAAAAAAAATAATTTTTTGGACGTTTCTAAGTACCGATACGATACTGAACCTTGCTAACAGCCTTTTGCAACCTTGCATTGGGAACATCTCTCAATGAAATAAAGCATGCAAGTGCAAGACAGTAAAGGTTGTTCGAGTGAGCTTTGCCCTGATCAAAGCCAAACTCTATCCACCCATAGGTACAAAAACCGTTGCCATTCTAGCTACAGATAGAATTACAGCCCCATTTGGTTCAAGGGAATAGGGGTTTAGAATCAGAACCGGAATGACATTCCAATTCCAATTGTTTGTTGGGCAGAAATGGAATCCCATTACCATTCCTTCTGGAATGGATAGACATCAATTTGTTAATTTTTGGCTTGTTCATCAGCAAACTCTAAGGGTCCATTTGGTTTGCAATCGAAATCGAAATCAAAACCAAAATCAAAATCCTCTGGAATCGAAATCAAAATGGTTCATTCCCATAGTTTGTTTGGTTCATAAAGGAATGAGAATGAGAATTGAAATCAGCAATGAGATTTCACAAGAGAGGGGCAGGGAATGACTATTCCCTCAAATGGGGGAATGTCATTCCAGCAGAAATGGGAAAGAAATTCCGATTCCATTCAACCTAACAGTTGGAATCAGAATAATTCCGATTACAGACCCCTATACCCACGAACCAAACGGGGCCAAAATGTCCACCCCCCCCAGCCCCATAAGGAATGATTTCACCATGCCTTCTGACAAAAATCGACAGTTGATGTCTCTATAAATAGGATTGAGTAATTTCTCATGAACCAGCTCATTAATGCGTTTTTTTTTTGTTTCTATTATTAAATAAATGATGGTGATGTTATATATTAATCACGAACATCTGATCAGTCCTACATAAATGTCTATACCAAATATCTAAAATGTTACAAGCTCTCAAAAGCAGAAATAGGATGACACCCGGCTCAATTTCTTCAGCAACCTGGCTCGATCACCTCTAGTATGTGCTCAACCAATGAAGCAACTACGATGAAACTCAAAACAGAAGATGGGATGAAAGCATCCTATGTACACATTTTTGGGATCTTTCATCTTCACCTGGGACTGCAGCTTCCATATCGTATTGGAAAGCAGCTTCATTAATTCACCGGCGGTGCATCATGCTCGTTGGGTTGGAATGGGATGGGTACGTCCCCCAGTGCAGCACCCACATCTTGCCTCCGGTGCCGCTCACGAAGGTAGAGGACCGTAATGAGGCAGACAATCAGAGTGAGGATCATGGGATTGCCTTCATCCAGGATCACATTCTCTACCCACGCTCCTACTTTCGGATAAACTTCAGGCAGTGAATCAATCAAGTCAACCTTAAATCATAGAACAAAAGATGTAAGCCTTGAATTCAATGAATGGATTCGGTTTCGACAATCTCTACTCAGACAAATAAAGAGTATTACAAATGGGAAGTAAGTATGAAAGAAGCTGAAATGTGCAAGCAAGCTTTCTTTAAAGATCATTAAATAGAACAAATAACAAAGCGAGGGTTTTACATTGACAAATAGCATTTGGAAGTCTGAAACCCTGATAACTTGGTGATAGATCTTATTAAGAGCTTATTGTTACGTAAGAATAGTTCGTTTGAACTTTGAAGCCCTATCTGGTTATCATGATGAATTTGTTATTTTGGATCTTAACTCGTAAGAGTTCATTTCCCTTGGATATGGTTACGAGGGGTGTCAGAGATAGGAGCAAATGAAAAAACTTATGTGCACGATGACAAGTGAGAAGTGGTGATTCAGTCACTTGTTAAAAATTTCAGATGTTAAGCATATCACACCTATAACCTAACACACCGAGGAAAGTGGCAATATGTTAGACTTCCAATGGCCACCTTAATGTTAGGTGTAAATAGAGGCCAGCTTTTTGAACTTTCTGTTCATGCTTTTATTCCCATCTTTTACCTCTTTTATTATTTATTTATTTACTTTGCTTTTCAGTCCTTCAAAATAAATGAAAAAGGAAATAGGTTGCCTCTTTTGGAGATAATATTCCATTAGGTTGAGTCAACCTCTATATGAAAAAACCAAGGGTTGTTGAAATGATGGACAGTCTGCACAAGCACCTATAATGCAGGAAAAGAGAATCATTCCAGTTAAAAGACTGGACTGATATGCTAGAGACCCTTTCCTTGCAGAAACACACTAGGTGAAGCACTAATTTTTCAATAGGAATGTGGGACAAGCATCATACGGTTGAATTGCGACTCCTGTTTGCAAATGTCCAGGGTACTGTGCCTTTTTTATGAGGTAATACACTAGAGAAGGATGGACAAACTAGGGGAATTCATAATAAGGAAAAATCATCAAAAGTGGAAAGGAAAGATTTGAAAGAGGTATGACGGATTAGGCATCTATCTAGTGGGAGGGTGTGGTAGGATGTCAATAGTCCATCGATCAACAAATGACCTACCCAAGCAAGGGGTGAGTAGGGCAGAAAAATACTGGGCTTATTTGTATCTGATAATGTTAAAAACAAAGTAAATGGGTAAGGGGTGAGGACTGCCTATTCTTAAGGGATGCTGGGCACATTGTACATATCTACATCTCTCTCTCTCTCTCTCTCTCTCTCTCTCTAATTTCATATTAATGAAAAAACAAAGTAAAAGATGCAGTTGCATGGGGTATACCTAAATTGCAATAAAAAGCTATGTCCCAAAATATGAGAGATTTTTTAATTTGATAATAAAAAATATGTGAGATGGTTCCACTACTTCCAATTGTATATAAAGCCTCAAATTAACATTTTCCAAATTTTACACAAATATTAAAGATATTGTCTAAAACAAGCAAAGAATTGGTTTCATCATCTGCTGATGGGAAGAGAAAGAAAAACTGAAAGCAAATGAAAAAGAACCTAACCAGGAAACTGTTGGCATAGTTTTTCCTTATCCACAAGCTCGCAAGTGCTAATGTCACAGGCAACTTTGCTGCAGGATCATTCTCTAGGGCCTGATCATAATAACGCTTAGCAAGATGAAGATCAAAAGGAAGCCCCTTGCCATGCTCATGCATGTATCCAAGGTTGAACATGGCCTGTGAATTGGCTTGTGATTTTGCATGCATGTAAGCCTCTGCAGCACGATCATAATCTATCTCGGTGCCCTGCAAGGATGGAAGAGAGAGAGAAAAATCAGGACGACATGTAAGTTGGAAGGCTCTCCATCTGTCCCAACCCTTCAAAAATTTCTCAATTTTAGATTAGAATTAAACAAATAGATAAAGTGATATCTGGAAATTTCAACCTTAGCAATGTTTTAAAACGAGGTGTGACACAAGCTGTTCCACTACTCTTGGGCACAACTCAGAATGTAAGAGGCAACTAAGGGGTAGGGATCTGCTACCAACAAAACACTCTCAGCATTGTCCCAACAGGTCAGCACATTGGGAACAACTCCTTTCTAATTCATGGGGAGATGTTCCCGATATACAGTTGCAATGGCTGGTTGGGACGTTGTCAGCACCGTGTGTTCATAGCTAATATGAACTCATGACTGAGGTGTAAGCTGCCTGAACAAAAAGAAACATAAGCCACCTCAAGAAGAGGAAGATGAGGAAGAACAAGGGCCATATTTTAAGGCAATAACAGAGATATATGCCACTACACAGTACACACCTTTGTACAAGAGGCATGCACCTCACGTGTATGCACATCTCCACCATGCATCTTGAAGCTTTTCCCCTATGCCTCACTTGGAGACACACCTCAGGGTGTATGCCTCTTAGGCGCTTAATGCCTTTTAAAACATTGATGCTTAGCCCTTGGGTAGGCTTTTCATCATTCCCCACACAAAAAAGGAACAATTACAAACTCTTAACTTATGTCCTAAACTGTCCTACTTGGGTTCTACTATGTCCAACTAATGAATTCAATCCATTTCTTTCATTCTTTTCTATGAAACTTAATTCTATGGATGCCCTTCCAGTCATCCTATTCTTATTCCATCTTTAACATCGTCCTATATCTCTCTAATTAGAAAGAAATGCACTAAAATATACAGAAAATAGAAAAAATTAGAAATAAAAATGGTTAAAAATTCAAACATTCATTCTTTTAGATTTTTTAAAGAAATTAACTATAGAATTTCCTACATCAGATATTGCTTGCATACCTACAAAACCCACCACAGCACAACCCATCTATTAATGGCAGCAGCAAAAATAAGGATACTCACCATTAACTCAAAATTCAATGGCAAGCATCAAATACCCAAATGGAGCAAAAAAAGTGAGCCAAATGGCCCAAATCCATGTTCGGTTGGTCATCCACTATAGGAAAAAAATCCGAGGTGATGGTAACTGTAATGGAACAGTCTAATTCAGAAAAATAAGACCCTTGGATGAATACCTTTTTAGGTTGTCTCTATTCTCAACGCTACCGCTGAAAATACTGAACATCATGGTGACCGTCATACACTACTAGTACCAACTAAAATGAAATTGAATAATTCAGAGAGGAAGTTGCATGATGCAACAATCCCAAAAGCTAATTTCTAAGGCCTAGAATTACCAATGCACCTAATTGCCAGAGACACATACCCGACCATAATAATATGCATCCCCAATTAGCAGAGCTGCATGTTCATTCCCCTGTTCTGAAGCCTGCCACCACAAAGAATGTGCACGTTGATGCCTTTCTGCATCTGTGCAAAACCCAGATTCTCCCATGCACATACTGCGCTCACCATATTTCTCAAGAATCCAGGCAGCATTACTTTGTGCAATCTCATATCCCAGCTCTGCCATTCTGGAGTACAAGAGGAATGCTTTTCCAACTTCACCCTTTAAGTACGACTCTAGTGCCCATCTTGATAAGGAATTCCAAGGCCCTCGCTCCGCAACTAATTTGTATAATGTAGTGGCCTGAAACCAAAGAAAACTGGACAGTCATAAACAAAGTAGACGTGCTTGCAGATGCTCAAGACCATTCAAGCTAAACAAGAAAATGGTAAAGTGATGAATAAAAAATATAGACAAGCATTACAACCTTTTTAGAAATATTTCTGATTTCTAATGCATGCAATGATTGTTCGAGTATAAGCCCGTTAAATAAAACACAGTGGACTAATTCATAAATTGCGTTAACATTCAAAGTTCATTATTAGCTTGACCATACTTGCAGATGCTCAAGTAAACAAGAAAATGGTGAACTGAAAAGTGAAAAATGGAGACAACATTAGAACCTTTTATAAATATATTTCTGATTTCTAATGCATGTAATGATAGTCCTAGCATAAGCCCTTTAAATTAAATGCAGCGGACCAGTTCATAAATTGCTTTAACATTCAAACTTCACAATGAGCTTGATTATCATAATAATTAATAAATCAACAGAAACATGTGTATTTATTTTCCAAAGAAACAAGTATGTCAATTCCATAAAGGCATCAGAAATGAAGAATCTCGGCCCAATCAATTTTTTTAAGAGTGAAAGATCAGTCACTGGGGGCAAGAAGAAATGTTGCATAATGACCTTAAGCATGAATAAGTTCAGATTCTTCCTGAGTCAGGAAAAACTTATATTTTCAGCTTTAACTTTGTAGATAGAAAACTTGCTTTCATGCTCCATGACAATTAATAAATGAGAATATTATTCTGAGACAAAATAGTACAGACAGGAGAATTACAATATTGCATTGATAATTATGTTCTCTTTAACATAAATATGGACAGGCAGAAATAACTTTTAACAATTAACAGGTAAGTCGCGAACTAGCCTTGAAAAATTATGCATCTTACACACTGAATGAAGGATGAATAGTCTCAAAGCTTGAGAACACAAGGAAAACTTAAACTTACCATAGGAAGACTCTTCTTAAGACCTACACCCGTGTGGAACATTTTTGCCAATTGGTAAAATGCCTTTGGCTGACCAACATTAGCAGCTGTTAAGAAATGTCGGCATGCCACCTTCACATCTTTTTTTACTCCGATCCCTTTAAGATACAAGACCCCCAGGTTGTAATGCCCCCCAGGCTCTTCATTTTCAGCAGCCTTCTCAAAGTATTCTTTTGCCTGCAATGAAAAGATCGTAGTTTGTTAACTAGAAGTCATGCTGAAACAAAACTGGTAACACAACCTTCAAAACAGACAATCACCAAAAAATGAATAAAGAGCAGATTAATGATATAGAACTTCCTATACCAAAACAGATAGCTAGAGGAATCCCATCCTCTTCACATAATAAAATCCTTTGTTATCAATCCACAAAAGAAAAAGGAAAAATAAGCAGTGTAATAATTTTATTATATAAAACTATTTGAGTGGTTTGGGAGGAGAGGAACAACAGAATCTTTAATGGCAAAAATAGAATTGTGGAGGAGGTAATAGAGGCAATAAAAGTGAAGGTCATTTTGTGGATTAAAAGTATGGATTGCTTTCAGAGTTTCACCGTGACCGATATTCTAAGGGATTGGAAGGAGATAGCACTCTCTTATAGAGACAGACAAAATAGAAATCGAATGGAAACCACCACAAGGCGGTAAAGTAAAGCTGAATTTTTGATAAAAGCTCTTTGGGTAACCCCGGTATGGTTGGTATTGTTGGGGCAATAAGAAATTCAGAGGGCAGATTGTTAGCTCTTTTCTCTTGACCAATTGGTGTGGCTACTAACCTCATAAAAGCGTAATTGTTGGCTTTACTACAAAGTCTCAGGTTAGCTAAGCAATTGGGCTTCAGTCACTTGGAGGTGGAAGGGGACTCAAAAGTAATCATTTCTTGGGCAAGATGTAACAGAAATATTCCTTGGACCCTCAAGAATGCCTATAGGGAAGTAGAAAGGATTGCAAGAGATCTGGGTGCTGAATTCAAATGGGTCAGAAGGAGTGCAAATGGGTTAGCTAATTCTCTTGCTAACTGTAATGATGTATTTCCTATATTTTTTTTATCAGTAAAACTTTGATTATATTAACAAGGGGCAGAAAGGGACCAATTGTTCTGGGAATCTTTGTAACAGTGTTAATTTTAGGTCATATATCATGGTCAGCAAATCAAAATTGTACTGTTTTTTCACATATTATTAATATAATCAAAGTTTTACTGATAAAAAAATATAGGAAATACATCATTACAAGGTCATGAACCACTTGGATGTTGACCAATTCCTAGAAGTTATATCATGCTTTCACCCAATCTTCAATTTTTCACTTATGAGGACAAGTAAGAAAAAGGCAAAGTTACAACTTCAGAAAAGGAAGCAGGAGATAATATTCTCCAAACAAGTGAAAATTTTCACCTTAGTTGATGTTATTGGGCCATTTGTTCCTGCAATTAAGTGCATAGCATTTTTTGATAATAAAGCAAAATACAATTTTATTAAATAAGAAAATAGAAGTAAGTAACACAGTTATAACCTGACCTGCTGACAACCAACTTGGACCACATCAATCTTATGTTGATAACCTCAACAAACACCAGATACATATTCACACCATTATTTCATGTCAACTTCCAATATTCACCAAGCCTCGGACACAAAAATATGAATGATATGGATCTTTAAATTCAGGATGCACAAGCAACTGAACTAAAGATCCAATAACAGTCACAATTCTCTTTATATATCTTTTTTCATTCTTATATTTCTTTCTCCCCAATTACCCCAGCATGTTGCAAATGGAATTGAACTCCAGAAAAAATTTTCTCTTGCTACTTGATATTGCAGGTCACTTGGGGAAAAATCCTTTAGATCAATTGGGACATGCTTTGGTTTTCTAAGCTGTAAAACAAAGAACTTCCACAGAAATTATGCTAGTCTATATCTGATGAATAAGTTAATAACAGATTCCTAAAAATCCCCACACATTAGACATTGGAAACTGTTGGCAAAACAGGATTTCCCCCACACACATCTGATGTCTCAGTTTCACTGTTAACACACCCTTAGCATAAAAGAATTTCCTCACACATAATCATAGAGGCATAAAAGGATTTCACTGTTAACACACTCCTAGAAAACTCCTTCCACCATGTAGCATCTGTGACAACATTGACTCCCTCTCTCTCTCTCTCTGATATCCTTCTCACTTTGCTGATGTAATCCTGGCAACAGTTCATAAATTTTCCAGTCCCACACTATACATCTTCCCAAAAACACATCCTATACCCTCTCCCACTTTAAACTTTGTGCACCTTGAAAAGTATTGATGAAATTTCATTATTTTTGATAGATAACATCACATAATTCATTAACACTACCCAAAAATAACAAAATTCCATTATTTTATATCCAAAGACAATATCCATATGTAGCTGACATCAATCTTGAACCCTGTTCAAATTGAACAACTCCATATCTAATTATTTATTTAATGACCCTCCTCTATAACACATCTTCCTCCACCCCAGACCTCCATAACCACTTTCCTAACCAATGTTTTAAAAACCAACCTGAAACCGGAACCATTCTGGCCACCGGTTTCCGGGTCAACGGTTTGACCATCCGGTTAGAATAGACGGCCTGTTCTGACAAAAATAATAATAAGGGCACTTTTCTTAAACTACCCTTATGGTTTAGCTAATTGACTAACTCTACCCTTACTGTTAACATGTTGTCTTAAAGTACCCCTAAATTTTCTGACAATTGACATCATTGTTAAGTACTAACGGAAAAAATGAAATATCGAATTTGCCCTTCACTATTCCTCAAATTTTCAAAATAAAACCCATTTGATGAAAAATTTCAGGAAGACAAGAAAGCAGATCGCTGCTCCGTCTCCATCTCCGTAACCTCAACAAATGATCTGATGCCGCTTCCAGCAATGGCCTTTGCTAAGCATCAGCAACTGCAGCAGGCAACAATGACAAGTTTTAGAGCCAGTTGGCACAGGTCCGCTTCAGGTACAGAAGCAATACTGGGAAAAAATCTACCCCTATCTCCCCACATATCCACCTCGTCAGAGGACCAAACCAGAGTACTTTAAGGTTTTGCCCACTTTCCACTCATCTCCACCTTGTCTGGTTTTCGAAACAGTAGGTAGAGTTCTGTCTGATTTTTTGAACTCTCTGTATGGAGATCTATATAATAAACAGAATGTTGCCATTAGTGGTATTCACACTCATGCTGGACCTGGAGGTTATCTTCAATATATTGTATATATTGTAATATCCCTTGGATTTGTGCATCAATCATTTGATGTCATCGTTGATGGCATTGAAAAGAGTATCATACAAGCTCATGAGAATCTCTAGTCTCCGCCCAGGATCAATATTGGTTAATAAAGGTATGTTAGAATCCTGCTAATTCTTTATTTTCCAAATTATAGCTTGGTGAAGTCTACTCCGATCCCCTTTTCCGATGAGTATGTTAAATCTGGAGAATAAACTTGGTGGAAATGTGGAACTAACCCTCTGTGGGTTCGGCATTTCCTTCTCTGTTGATTTTTGTCATTGCTGAGTATATGCTACAAGGTTTTGCCTCCATCCTTTTCCATAGTTAATATGGAAGCTACATTTTGAAAATCAGTGCCCTTCAAGTTGAATGATTCTTCACAGGGATATCCCAGCAAATAGCAGTTCTAACTCTTCATCCTATGATTGGGTCCTTTGAATTGAAGTTTTTTTTTTTTTTTTGGAAAAGGTAAAGTAATATTTATTGAGAATGAAATACACACCGGAGGCTGAGATCAGTTCCAAAACAGGCTGACTGATCTAAACAGTGATTACACAAGCCGTCAAGACAAGGAAAAAGTACATCTGATACATTACAGTTTCTAAAATCTGCCGCCGCAGACAATCAAGAAATCAGTTTGCCCACTAACTTCTGGGTTAGGTCCTCCAGACTTGGAAACTTGTTGCTGAACACCCTTCTATTCCTCTCGGTCCAGATACACCACATTACAGCACTTGGAATCGCTTCCCATAAAGTCTTCTTTTTCTTGCTCCAGCCCACAATATGCCAGCAGCATAACAGCTCTTTAATCGAACTCGGCATCACCCAACAAACCTTCAAGGACTTGAGGAGGTGGTTCCACAACTGAGCCGAGAACGGGCAGTGTAAACACAGATGATCAGTAGATTCAGCACTGCACCCACATACGCTGCAAGACTGGTCTAAAATCTGAATTCCCCTGCTTACAAGGTTCTCCTTGGAAAGGCATTTGTTAAGAGCCATAGTCCAAACAAGGAAACTGGCTTTAGTCGGACTGATAGGATTCCACACTTGCTGAACTGGGAAATCAGGAACACCCATCCTACCAAGCCTAGCTGCCAAAGATTTAACAGAGAATATCCCGTCAGGATTCCACTTCCAATGCCACTTATCCTCCATACTAAAGTCCATCTCTTGATGCTGGAGGCAGGTCAAAAGATTCACTACCTCATCCACCTCCCAATCAAAGAGATTTCTTCGGAAAGAGGGAGTCCAAAGAACAGAACCACCAGAAATACTATAGCACTCAGCAACTGAGGCCTCGTGGTCTGAAGCACACTGGAAGATGAGAGGGAAGGACTCAGCAAGAGGAACATCTAGGCACCAAGGGTCCTTCCAGAATTTGATCCTATTACCATTACCAGCCCTGACTGCGATCCCCCTGGCCAACTCTGGAAAGTGCTTCATTATCCCCTTCCACAGAGAGTTACACCAGTTAGGAGGGGTGGTCCTTAGATCTCCAATTTCCCCAGCTCACACCATATTTGCTAGCTATGAGAGATCTCCACCAAGCATCAGATTCTACAGCAAATCTCCAAATCCATTTACATAGGAGGGCATAGTTAAAATATTTCAGCTTCCTTATACCTAACCCCCCATCAGATTTGGGGAGACAGACTTGTTCCCAACTCACCAAGTGCGCTTTTTTCTCCTCCTCCCAGCCTCTCCAAAGGAAATTCCATTGAAGCTTTTCAATCTGATTTGCCACCTTCTTAGGAATAGAGAAAAGAGATAGGAAGTAGGTAGGCAAATTGGAGAGAGTACTCTCTTAATCAGAGTCACCCTCCCCCCAAAAGAAAGGTATTTTGCCTTCCAAGAAGCCAGCTTCCTTTCCAATCTCTCAATAATTGGGTCCGAAATAGTGGAC